CATTTAGTAGGTTGGCCTCAATCCGTGGGACAAAGACAACAATGCGGTGTCTACCTTCAGGCATCACTCCGGACCCGACCCGATTAGGGAACAGATGCACTAGTCCGCGAGTCAAAGCTCTTTCCATCTATTCTCTTATCCTTCTGCAGAATACACTATTCCTAACAATCTGGCTTTCCCACCGACTTCTCTCCTCACCTAAAGGAACCATGGGCCTGGAAGATCGTAGCTTTTATGGTTAACTTTCTTAGCCTTAACGCCTGTCGATAGTAGAACCAACACGGGAAGGGAGATCACGGTACGACAGACGTAAAAAGTGTGAACATGGAGTTGGCGTGTGCTGGTACGCCTATGCGCAAGTTCCTACCGTGCCAGCCACCAAACACGATTTCGCCAGGTGTACAGTACTCACTCACACATCTCCAAATTGGTACTGCAGTGGCCCAAAAGACTAGGGTCACTCACTGTAATATGCTTAATTACTGTATGATTCGTCTTCGTGCATTCAACGCTAAGGTGAAACAACTACATTACTCCTATGACAACAACATCACGAAAGGCACAATTGCAATGCTTCATGACGCCGGTTCCCAGTGCATAAGTGAAGCTTTTCCTGTCTGTACCACCACCATGTGACCAACAACACCGCGTCGAGTACAGGTTGTAGGATTTCTCGGCGACTCCTGACGCGAGAAACGCGGTCGCAAGTGTATCGTGAAGAGGAGTGAGCAAAGTCCACTATCTATTATGCCAACGCCCGCGTGGCTATTCTCACCGTTCCAGTCATCTTTTCTAGCAGATAAACTTGGATGACTAACTGAGTGAAAGAGAAGACTAGCCAAGCACCGGAACGGCTTTTTTATTATTAGAAGCTTTTGAAGGGGTGCAGGAGTTCATCGTCAGTTTTACCGGAAGTAGCAGCAGTAGCAGCAGCAAAAAGATAAGGATTAAAGGGGTGTTCAAACCAATCAATTATCAGGGACACAGGTCTTGAGGTGGCCTCGAAGGGCTCCGTAAACTGGTGCTAAATCGAGTGATTTATTTACTATCCGTGGACCAGGCTTAAACCAATTATCGTTGGTTGGACTTTTTCCGGTGTGGACGATCAGAGTTCCGACTACGAAGTTGAACTATCATGCGATTTCTGACGGTGGACTTTTGCACGAGTTCGATAGCTCAGAAAAAAGATTGTTCCAGTTCTGCCCCAGTCTTCTGCTTTACATGTGCTGTACATCTTCGCATCGTGTGTTTGTACTCTCCTGTTCCGGGGGTTGCTGCTGCCTGAGCCGAGATAACGGAAACTGGTATCGGATGAGGATTTTCTCTGATGATGTTTCTGGGCACGAGGGTCCGAAACGTCAGGCCAGTAAACTTCTTGTTCCAGCGATTGCATCTCCTACTCCTGAGCTCATTAGTTTGTTATCAGACGGGAACCCTGGACTCCCACATTGGGGGGCACCTCGTAGGGAGGAGGGTACTTGAACGCCAACGACAATGACATTCCACAGGTGGGCGGCGGTCCGTAAAGGCCTAGACAGCTTAGTTCGCATTTGCAAGGTTGAGATGCCGGAAGTAATAACGAGAGAAGCGACAGTGTCGATGGTTCGAAGAGCTTGGTCGCACGGAAATGCCGATAAACATCTTGGCCTTGGACCGATTTATTTGACTTCCTGGGCCTTTGGCGTCAGCTGGCGTATTACGCATAGTCATTTTGATGGAAGAGGATGCTGATAAGCCTGCTTCTTATTCGTTCATATTTCTTTAATTCGGTGTGACCATCTTATTTGAGCCTCAACCGGCATGGAGCATATGGTGGACATCGTCGAAATCTGTACCTGCCAAGAGTGGACGAGCCGGTAAAAAACTGTTAACAGGAAGACCTCATGCATGCAAAAAGTAAATGTTCTCTGGAAACCATCCTTTCCCATCAAACACACAAGCATGTGTGGCTGCCAAATCTAATCGAGCATTCAGTTCTCTCTTAAGAGCAGGCGTGGACGGAGAGAACCGCCTTGTTGGAAACAGCCTGAATGCCATATCAGATTGCTTACACGTCAGCATACACAAAATAACACAACTGAATTTTCGCCTGGCTTCAGATAAATTCACAAATAAATGCGCAGGTTCGCGTTTGAAGTGTTTGCATAAGTAAAGGAGAAGGCTGGCGAGCACCGGAATACTCCAGTTTACACTCCCTCTTCCCCCATAGTTTTCGCCTATTTTTTTGCTGCTGGTACCTGTGACGATGAAAACCAGCGCGAGATTGAATGCTGAGAACAATAAACAACCGGCTCGGATACCCGACCAACCTCTCTTTTACTCATTTAGGTTAACCTCCCGGATGAGTAGAGATATGATTTAAAGGCTTGAAATGCGTGTATCCGTGTCGGTGCTCATAACGCAGCCAAGTTAAATTTCAAACCATTACGAAGGGATGCGGACGGCGTCAGAGGAGTACCCAAACTTCAAACTTGTATAAAACCATAACTAAAGTTGCAGAAATATACAGTTACCGCAGAGGACGAATTATTAGGAATTTTATTTTAATGCAAAATACTTAGAAAGCACCGGAAATACAAACATCACTGGTTTGTGTTACTTTATTGGTTCCTTTGGGTTCGTACGGGCGGGCTGGTGCAAAACCAGTGTCCCCGCAGACTTTGGGAGTCTAGAGAGCTGGCCTTGACAGAGTGGAATTATATTTGAGGGGTGATATAGAGAATAAAGAATGGTAGGGGGTGGTCTGAGAATAGTCAACCAAGCTGATGTACACGTAGCACTTGTAAAAAACGTCTGGGGGCGGGCGCAAGCGAGGACGGAAGATCGGGGACCAAAGGGTTGGGGTGGTGGGGAACGAAAACCAGTCACTCGCTTGGAAGTACTGCTGGGGAGGCGTGTGAGGAAGGGACAGAGAGGGAGATGAGTTACAGGATCGCCTGCACGTTGCCCCATTTAAACTCACGTACCTCTGTTTTGTACACGCGCCACGTGCGTAAACCCTCTTATTTATGTTTATGTATGCAGTACTTTTCACTCGGAGCGGGGGGTGGGAGAGCAGCGCAACGCGCGCAGACACCGGAGGGAGGTATTAGAAAAGGCTCTAGTGGATGGAGGTGGGAGGGGGACCGTGCGGAGTGGAGCCCACATTTGTGCTCCGACTTTGAGAGAACAGCGCAGACAGTTTGTCCACCGAGAAGAGGCAGTGTATGGCCTCGGGGCTTATTGACTGCATCTCATTCATGAGTAGAAGGACGTTGGCAAAGAGTGTGGAGTCGCCAGAGCATCGAATGCAGCACCGACGCAGTTCCTCTATGGCCGCGCGGTAGGAGATTGTGTAGTGATTTGGGTAAGCGTCTAAAAAATAGCAAAAAAGCATTTTGAAAGTGTTTGTAAAATCTTGTACAAATAATGTCCAATTTCTATTTAACGGCCAATTATATAGACAAATCGACGGAATAGCAATAGGAAGTACACTTGGTCTGACCTTTTCTGACATCTTTATGGACCAGCTAGAAGAAAAGGTATCATCTAAATTAAACACGACACCGCTTTAAAGATGATATGTAAATGATGTATCCGCGATTGTTGATGACATTAAGGAAGATGAAGATTTGCTGTCTACCACGAGTAATTTATATCCCAAGATCAAATTCACGATGGAAAAGGAACGGGATAACCAGTTTTTCTTTTTAGATTTTCACATGTTTAAATAAGAAGATGGCTCCATAACAGAACTGTTGTCCATTAGAATAAATGAGAAAGGCAGTACTTGCAGAACCTTAGTTTTGTTCCCATACAGTACCCGTCTTAAGTCATGAAATGTGAAGATCGAAATTGGGGCGGTTGGTTTAATACACATTTGAGTTTGTTTATTTTGTTTATTGAGTTAGCCTTGGATTCAGAACGCTGTTTACTAGAAACTACTTCAGTTCAAATCAGTATATTGAGGGAAAAAGTGGGTCCAATCCAACATTTCTTGATATTCAAGTAAACTCCTACGCTATTAAACGCCGCGGACCAGAAAGTTCTATTTATTTGTGTTTTACCATAAGGTACATAAACGTAAGCCCCAAATGTTGAAAATATACCTTTTCAGAGAACGGAAAATTTTGTTTTACCTCCATGGAAATCAGACAACTGCCTGTCTGTTTTGCAAAACTCTTACGTTCGTGCCATAAAATTAAGCAATTAACTTGTGCAGCTGTAGTTTGTTTTACTACATCGAAAATAAGCATCGTAATCAAGCATATAGATAAACACCCACGAAATGTCATCACTGTTCTTCATTAGGCCATATAAGAAAGATGTCCAAAACAATTTCTATATACAATTGATTACGAAACCATACGGAAACTTTAAACGAAACGGATAGAAGATTGGTAGTTTGCGCAAAACCTGAGCATATATTCTGTCACTCTTTTGTGCATTTGCAACCATAGAAAGGAACCTAAGCGTTAACAAATATATCTAAAACTGCTGCAGTATACAAAGAAAAGTGCGTTCTTGCAGTTTCAGGAGAAGATGTATCCCTAATTTTCGGGAAGCTAAAAACCGGCCAAACGTTCCCCCTTTTACCTTGACTTACCTTTAAAAAAGGTAAAGTACGCAGATATTCGACGTTAAAATATTTAATTAAAGCGATTTTTCTGGAAGTTACTTGATATAAAGTTTTTAGGTAATCTTAGGCATATCTATTTGTGTCGTTTGTTGTGGGCGTTCATTTTTCTGGGTAATTAGTCAACATGTTTGGGTGATGCCAAAACCATGACCCAAGCAAACAGTCGCCTGCGAGTGTCCAAAATTTACTATTTAGGTAAATTCTTTTAAGAAATATCTTATTTTGAAGGTTTTGGTAAGCACGTAGAACAAAATCTGTACTTATGGACAATCGACTGAAAACAATGCAAATCGTAGAGCGTTAACCACCATTTCAAGAAGGATCTGAACCTCGTCGTAGTCGGTCTCCTGAAACAAGTACACGGAAATGTGACGGACGAAAATTTCTCTCGATGTACACAAAGTGTTACGTTTAGGATTGCACCTGACAATTCATTTACATTTATTAGTCACTGACCGACATGCCCACATGTGAATTTACAACATATCTTACTCCTGTCACGTTCAAACCGCCACAATCACGCAAAAATCTGGTTGCTTTAGTACAACATATCCCAAGCAATTTACAAAGCGAAGAAACATTTAAAAATTCTCGACAATTCTCTTTGAATTGCATACACGAAATTTGAGTTGTTTGGTAACAGCTGTTTTACATTACGCGTAATATAGTCAAGTTTATTAAGGGAAATATAGGCAAACGCCCTTGAACTCCCTATGGAAGTATATGCACTCGAAAATTTCACAAAAGGATTATTTTCAAGCCTAATTTTACTTGTGCTGCTTTATTCACTCGTTTTGTTTGCAGGAACAGATTGCCTTTACTCAGTACCCCCGATTGTTCACTTTTTTGAAATTTCCCGTTTGATATTCCTAAACGTTATATTACTTGATAAATGTTAATATGCTTCTTTTTATTCGTATTTTGCTTTGCTGCTGTTAGACTTTGGGGGACGCAGCTTGGGCTGCGGTTGAGTACCAGGTATCTTCCAGTAAACTTCCTTGGATTTCATGAGTTGAGGCAGGTATTGTGTGATGGAAAAATTACTTGGTGTATACTCTTTTCCAAAGGACAATTAACATTTGCTCTATGGAGACATTGGATACAGCAATTTTCTGCTTCAAGGCAACTTTACTTAAGCGGGGATATCCAGCACGTTTTATTCAAAAGTACAGCAACGGCCAAGAATGAAAGACTAGTCAGTTCCGAAAAAGCCCCTTATTATACCTTTGGCTTTAAAGGGTGACAACATTTTAAATACTATCAAGCGACGCCTGCGTTGTACGATTGAAGGATATACAATGCGGCCCAGCTCATATTTTGCAGTCCTACAAAGCCTCTACCAATTCTACGCGCAAAGGCTGCTTTGCTTTAAATTTTCCCATAGTGTGTTTTAAAAAGCTAACTTTATCGATTAGTCTACGTGGCAATTTACCATGGCCTTGGTTTTGCATCTAATTTTTCTGCACGAATTCAAATGTTGGACTCTTTCATCCTTTTTCAATATTATGCAGCGACAGGCCGCAGTTAGGGAACAGTCACAGAATTTCTTGGTTCCATTAAGTTCTGCAGTACTTGCATGCTCTATTTTAGCACCAAGGAAACAAAAT